CTAGTAAGACATCAGACATAACGACATTCCGGAGTTCACTCGAGAGCGTCGTTCGACAGCATTACCCGCGAATGAACGGAAGGATAGCCTTTCGACTCATATCGTGTCCGTGTATTTGTTCCGATTCATTGGTCGTTCTCTCGAGTCTAAGTCCGTATAGCTTTCAGTCCTCGCCGTCGGCTATTGATAGCGTCTACCATTCATACGATGCCATACCCATTGGCGCGCTTCCATTGTTTGCCGTCTCATCGCATGAATACTACGAAAATGTGTCAAAAGTAATTTCAGCGACAAATCATACGTATAATGAGTTCTTAAAGAGCGAAGAAGGGCTTGGCTTTAGTGGACAAATATGTCTTATCGGCGATAGCATTGGTTCCATTCTTGGTTTCGATGCCTTTTGCCGATCGAGTCATCTCTGCAGTCAATTCGGCAGCGAAACAAGTATTCCCGATCTCTCCGAAGGCTACGCTTCTCACAAACCCGTCTTTCCTGGCCATAAGAATCCGTTGATTTCCATTAGCGATGGCAGCGGTAATGAAGACACTGAAGAGGCCAATGAACTTAAAGGCAATCTTAAAGCAAAGACATTACCCCTGAAACCAAACACATTTGGCGTTCAACGACNAAAAAGTGGTCGTTTGATAGTATTGTTTCTCTATTGGGCTTAAAATTAGTTTCAAAAAACTGAGCATAAGTTTAGATTTATATTAATTTTTATAAGAGCTTAAGAGTAAAACATAATTAAGTAGTGGTCAGATAATCTAGAAAATGCATTATTGGTTTTGTAAACATAAATATTAATTAAAATATAATTATTTGCTTTTTATTATTCCTTAATTCAAATGATTTGAAGAGAGTTGACGAATGAATGTGTGAATGAAATTTATTAATTATTTGTTTTGCTTTAATTTGGTGCTAAAAAAGCTATACGACAGCGACTCACTATTACTTGTTGGCGGAGCCGGACTTGATATGGCGCTCAGTGTCGACGGCACCGACATCTGGGACGTCAGCGGATAGGAAATGGTTCGCTTGGCTTTGGTCGAGCGCCGGTGACGCACGCCTCCGAAGCCGCCCCGCGGCAGAACCATTCGGGCGTTGCCCTGAGCCGGACGGGAACAGCCCAACGCTATCAACTCATTCAGGTGCACCGCATAGCCCTCGCTTAATATCTATTGTACGAACATTTTGTTGTTAAATAACAAACTCAACTCAACTTATAGTATATTTGTTGGTAAAAGACCAATAGGTAAGGCATTAATCACTCACATTAGCCATTAAGTGGTGTTTTTTGGATACTTTTCCCACAATAAATATCTGATCGGCTTTTAGACCTAATGATTGATAAACGGTTATATCTTTGCTCGAGCCGTACGCCGCTTGGAATACGATCTCCGACTTTAAGAGTGAAAAACAATGAATTAATTTAAGTCAAAACAAATGTCGCCTTTTAATGGCTTACATCGATTTGAAGGTGTCTGAGATGTTCGGCTTTATGTCTCAACGGATCGGTGGACAGTCGGTCGGCAAATGCTACCAAACCGTGTGGGAAGTTGTGTTGTGAGAGCCACGATATGACTCGTTGCTAATTAATATAACAATTACATTAATTATATCAAATAACAGCAAATTGTGTGTTAAATACCTGTTGCATGTCTGGACGGCCTGTTATATAAATTATAAGATATCCCAATTCCTGCCAATATCTAACAACATCTACGGCTCCGGCTCTAACTTTGGGGTCCTTTCCCGTGACGGACATACTTGCGGTGAATGAGCCGTCAATACTGAAGACAACGGCTTCCGTTTTTGGCGGAACGACAGCCAAATAGAAATCAATGGACGTGTGATCACCCCTTTATACACCAATTATTATTACAACAAATGTCCACAAAAATGTATATTATCGACACAAACCTGACAACAATTTTGACCGGATATAAGCCATACGTCAAAGTCTTATCTTCGGGTATAGCATAACTGACTCGACCGGACTTATCGGTCAACTCTGTGCTCAAGAAAGTCCATTCGCCGGAACGCATGTTCTTCATGACATGAATGTCCACTTTCTCGCCGGTGAGCGCCACCACATCCAAAGGGCCGTACATAAAACGGGCCGTAATTACTTGCGTCGCCCCTTCTTTGACGATAACGTCGTTCGCTCTGTGATTGGCTGTTATGTTCTGTAGAGGAATGTCAGCGAATAATTAGAAGCGGAACTATTATCCGAAGGCAGCGGTGGGGATGACATACTCGGCTCACCTTTAGCTTCACTGATGTTCTCTTCTTTTGCCACTTCTCTCTCGGCTGACACGGAGTGAACGAATGCATGTCTTTGTCAGAGTCTGCGATATTGGACGCCATATATTCAGGTCTTGAGATCTATTTGGCGTTAATTTAATAATTAATAACCAATAATAAGACATAGAAAATGTTTGAATGCGTTACTTGTCTTAAAATGAATGAAATGACATCATTTGATTCCCAATAACTGGCGTGAAAGAGATGGGGTAAGGCGTGCGTCGGAAAGTTGTTTAGGCCTTCGGGACAATAGAGAGCGTAATCGACTCGTTTAGTGCCCCACCATTTCTGGGTAACTATTGGTTTGGGTGTTTAACTTGTGTTAGGATTTACAAAACAATTTGCCGTAAAAGTAATTTACGAGAAGTAATGTTAGGTAAAGTGAGCGAATCGAGTGCCAACGATGCGTTACTCGTGATACTGACTTCACTGGTACGGCGGCCACCCATTGTTGGATAGGTGTGTGGTATCTGTGAAGTCGTTTCGGCGGCAAATAAATGCGAAAAAGTTTGCAAATATTCAACTGTCGAAGGATTTGAATAATGAAAAATTAATAAATTACTCAAAATTCATGCATTAATGTCTATATTTACGCAAATGGATGGGTTGTCCGTCGCCTAACGGATACTTCTGATATCGCGGGACATTTACGGGAGGAATGTGTGAAAACCTTGCGCTTAACAGAGGCTCTAATCGCAGAACTATTAATGTCTATATTTACGCAAATGGATGGGTTGTCCGTCGCCTAACGGATACTTCTGATATCGCGGGACATTTACGGGAGGAATGTGTGAAAACCTTGCGCTTAACAGAGGCTCTAATCGCAGAACTGATGGATCGGTCGGATGGAACAGATTGTAGATATGAGTGCAAGAAGGCTTCGGTAGTGGACCTGCATTTCAAATCATATTAAACATTACCGAATCGCTCATACATTCATCAAAATTCAATCTCTTCTTACATGACTTGTCGTCAATGGATAACATTTTTCTAAAAGTGAGGACAAGTCCGAGAGGGGAACCGAACATAAAAAAGTCCGTCACTTCAAACTCAAATCGATGGCAACAACTTTGATCGCTAGAACAAGAACTCCTTCTTCGTGGCAGAGGAGCGGTTAACAGTTTATGACACGCGCTCTCATCGGTACAACTGACGCCGCCATCGCCCGGATGTGAGTGTGATTTAACATACGGTCGTTGAACGCCAAATGTGTTTGGTTTCAGGGGTAATGTCTTTGCTTTAAGATTGCCTTTAAGTTCATTGGCCTCTTCAGTGTCTTCATTACCGCTGCCATCGCTAATGGAAATCAACGGATTCTTATGGCCAGAAAAGACGGGTTTATGAGAAGCGTAGCCCTCGGAGAGATCAGGAATACTTGTTTCGCTGCCGAATTGACTGCAGAGATGACTCGATCGGCAAAAGGCATCGAAACCAAGAATAGAACCAATGCTATCGCCGATAAGACATATTTGTCCACTAAAGCCAAGCCCTTCTTCGCTCTTCAAGAATTCATTATACGTATGATTTGTCGCTGAAATTACTTTTGAAACATTTTCGTAGTATTCATGCGATGAGACGGCAAACAATGGAAGCGCGCCAATAGGTATGGCATCGTATGAGTGGTAGACGCTATCAATAGCCGACGGCGAGGACTGAAAGCTATATGGACTTAGACTCGAGAGAACGACCAAACTTAGCCTTGTTTATGTGCCTGTGCTATACTCAGCTTTCCGATAGGAAGGCAAGTAAGCGCCCATTACGACAGCTTGCTGCGAGAGCTCACTTGAGGCCTTACAGCAATACAGACTACAGAATGATCAATTGAGTTCAGCCCCGGAATCAAGTAAACTCCCGCCGTGTAGTATAATGATCAGTGTGTCGGTCGGACACGGAGTCTGATGGGTGGGTGAACTGGGAAGTGATGTCGTGTCCACACTATGTCTGTTAATAAACGCTGTCTTTTGTTTCGTGTGTTCTGTTTGTATGCGTTTAATGTATGCCTCGGAGAATATGTTATCCGCTTTTGGATACAAATGTTGTGTCATATTATCAATAGTTTGGATCAAAAGTATTGTCTATATTTACAATCATCGCCGGCGTCGACGCTCTGTTGGCTTTTGATGCCCAAATCGCAAGGAATGTACTCAAGAGAACTCCATTTGGTTAGTGGACTAATGTTTAGCATTTCTGATTTCAATGATAATCACAATAAGTGAATATTAAATACGATAACACTTATGAGATCATACCCTCGGCGTCTATTTTGAGGAGTAGTCTTGACCACAGCCTTAGGGATTGTTACGAAAGGTAAGAGGTCAAACGATAAACATTCAGTATACGCAGATTTAATAATGTAATATAATAATAGTTTATGAATTTTAAGTAATAACGCTTTAATTAAATTCCTCTATACTGTCAGAGAATGTATAATATAGTAATAGATATTACATAATAAGCAAATCCTTTTTGTTCTTACCGTATCTACAAAAGTACTAATTGAACAATAAATGCAATAATTGAATGAAGTTTCAAAGAATTGCTAATAAAATGCATTTGTTTGCAAAAATAATCATCACAATTATTAGGAAAATAGTTCACATATATGTATCATATGTTTGATGATAAAATGTGAAATAAATAACAATTTCATAAATTCCATTCAGTATTACAATACAGTAATTTTGAAACATTTTGTAGATTAAGCTAACATTCCTGTAATACTCAAAGCATAGAAAACAATTCTCAAAATATTTCATGTCTTTGTGCTTTTCGCTGCAATTTTATCCTTAATTTCATCATTTCTTTGCAAAATTGGATTGAATTACTGAAAACACACTCACCGGGAGAGGGAAGTCCGGCTTTAGAGTTACTCCTCGACCACAGCTTTCGTCGGCCGTCTCCTAACACTTCCTGATCTCTAGATATCGACTGCTTTGACGAAATGGATGGATGAGATGACGAGTTTTTACTCTTTGGCACTTCCATTGAACTGATGTCCACATAAGTATCGTTATCCTTGTCGATCACATTCAGATCAATCTCTTGTCCAGAAGGACTTGTATTCAAATTTTGTTGTCCATCAATGGATTCACTGGCACTGGAATTGTCAGTATTAGCGGCCATTCGAGACTTCAAGTACTCTTGTGTCTCCTTTTCAATCTGTCTGATGTCAGCCATAGTGAGTCCGACCCACTCGTCCTGCCAGGTCCAGGCCTGCTTATGCGCCCGAACCATTATCTTACGCAATGCTATATTCAGTGCCAATTATTGCCATTATTTATTCAATATTTTTTACACACATATTTCAAAAAACAAAATCAATGCAAACCTCCTTCATGTATGAATTTCTCAATCTTGGTCTGCATTCCCCAGTATTTAAACTCGACTCTAACCAACTTATAGGCGCACATAATGCACTTGTTTTTCGATTTATTATGATTGTTGTTCATTGAGTTCCAGTGCTCTTCCACCCAATTTTCACCGAGAGGTCCGCGCTTTGTCTTCTCCGACACGTAATACTTGGGGTCCTCTTCTTTCTTATAGTCTGATGAGTAGAGCTGATCCTTAACGATGTCGATAACATCTAAATGTATACATTTTTTATTTTAAAATTTGTTTTCAATTACAAAATCGCTTTTTTTTTTATTTACCGACGATTCGGGATCTGAGCTCAGAGTTGTTCAGTTCAAACACATTCTCTCGTTCCCCGCAATCATCAAAATATTTCGTTTCAATTTCTATGAAAAACTTTTCAACGAAAGGACATGTATAACGGGTTTTGGTATAAGGATAGGCATTCCAGGCCTCCTCTCCAACGGTTTGTACTGATTTCGGTAATAATGCTTTTAGCCATCCTTTCATTGAATAAATATAAAAATTAAATAAAACATAAAAATTAGACTCAATTTCAATGTCAAATACAAGTAGACATACCCGGCAAATGATATCCCACGTGATATATTTTAGATGTGTATTGACCGGAACCTCCGGGTCCGTTATCATACGGCTCGTTAACTATAATCTCAACACCA